GTGGAATCTGCTTGCCACAATGCTTACACCTTCTAAGTAGATTTGTAACCACCAGTTCCATTTATAACTGTCTGCTCCCATCACTGCCCCAGCCTCACGCTAGGGGGAGGACCTGGGGATACAGAAGGGGAACACTCCCCCTGGGCTTCTCCTCCCCGCTTACTTTGCGGGCCCCTGGGGAGGAGGGTGACCAAGAAGAAAGAGGGACAGTGCTCTTTTAGACAACTGGCAAAGTTGACTTCCGGGGTTCTAGTTTATATGCACTTAACAAAACAACAGTTCAAACACAACTCAGTCATGTCTGGAAGCAGGGAGCTCTAGGAAAGTTAGCAAGGAGCCTTGGCCAAAGCACTGTTGAAATGGGGACTAGCTAAGGAGTACTGCCTGCCCTAGGTTAGCTGACGAGACAGAGCATACACGCTTGCCCTGTTGGGTGTGTTCCGACACCTCCCTCTTCTGCTGTCCACCTGAAAACACGGGTCATCCTGACCCCACCCACCAGGGCCAGCAGTCCCTTCGGCCGTTGGGGGAAGGGGCTCTCATTGCACTTCATTCTGACATCACGGGCTGAGGTCTCCTTCCCACACCTGTCTCCAACTCCAGATGCCAATCACAGGCCCCGGGTCCTTCAACCTGTGCCTCTGACCCCGAGCTGCACCCTAGGGTGCCCACGGCCCCTCTGGCGCTGTTGCAGTCCCAGCAGCTCCCATGTAAGGGATCTCCCCAAGGATGCAGTGTGATGTAAGGGTGAAGGGTGGAGAGCAGCCTCGCCCTGCGGGTGCTCAGATGTCCCCTACCATTCAGGCCTTTGTGGAGATGTCCCTGGGAGGATATGAGTGCCATGCACATGCCCACAACTGCCCAGATAAGCACTCGGGGAAAATGCTGGCAGACTGCGTATGACAGCGGATCCTTCCTGGTCTCTTGGTGGCATTCCTTCCTCACCCCTTCTGTCATGGGGCCCAGAGAACGTCTCAGTGGCCAGCTCCAGCACAGCCAGGTGGGCAGTGGGCAGCGGGTAGGGGTGAGTCAGGTTCTGTAACCTTCCTCAGGGAAGAGAAATTGTAGTTTCTGTGGAACTTCCCTGAAAGAGAAAGGTGCTAGGCAGGAGCCTTGGGGGCAGGGCAGACAACAGGGCTCTCCCACAAAGCCAGCACTGTCCCCAACAAGGGGTCTTTCTCATGTCTGTCCTCAGAGTCCCACAGCCCAGGGCCCGCTAGGAGAGCGCAGCGCGGGTGGCTGCTCCGTGCTGAGTTAGGCCTGCCCTTGACCCAGCACATGCCGTACTTTCATTACTGCAGGTAACTGACTGAGGGACAGAATCTAGAGCCTGCGGTTTTCTAGAAAGGAAGCCACGCTGAGTCATGGACGCCGCAGGGGATGCTGGCGAGCAAAAGAGCGAAGGCCAGCAAGTGGGGACACAGTCCACGGATGTGGATTTCCTTCCCTTGTACCCCCTACTCCACCCGTCTTCCCCAGCCCAGCACAGGGCAGCCCTAGAGGAAAGACTGGGAGAGAGGAGACCCTACCTCAGGACCCCCCTGAGGGACTACCACCCGACTCCTGAGCCTCTGCAAGGGCCAGGCCACAGGAAGTGTGGGGCAAGAGCTCTGAGGCCTAGCTGCAGGCTGGCTGTCAACACACAAGCACAGGGCCCCGTGTGCCCAAGGGCAGAGTGTCCTCGCAGGGTGCAGGCTCCAGCGCTGTGGGAATTCAAGGCAGGGAGAGTTGGGGTGCAGTAAGCGAAGCCAGCATTAAGGGATGTCAGCATTCCACATTGAAGGCAGGGGGGGGGGGCGAGTCTCAGCTGCTCTGCTTCCCATTCAGCTCCCTGCTAACACACCTGGGACGGCAGCAAATGAAAAGTAAGTATCTGGGCCCCTGCCTGCCACGTGGGAGAGCTGGATAGAGCTCCAAGCTCCTGGGTCGGCCCTGGATCAGCATCACCCACTGCGGCCAACTGAGGTATAGATCAGTGGTTGGAATTCCACACGCCCCCACCTTCTCCTTCTCTTTTTCCTTTATCTTTGAAGGTTTATTTATTTTTATTGCAAAGTCAGATAAATAGAGAGGAGGAGAGACAGAAATATCTTCCGTTCGATGATTCACTCCCCAAATGAGCACAACAGCCGGTGCTGCACCAATCCAGAGCCAAGAGCCAGGAACTCTTCTGGGTCTCCCATGCAGGTGCAGGGTCCCAAGGTTTTGAGCCGTCTTCCACTGCTTTCCCAGGCCACAAGCAGAGAGCTGGATGGGAAGCAGGGCTGCCAGGATTAAAACCAGCGCCCATATGGGATTCTGGCACGTTCAAGGTGAGGACTTCAGCTGTTAGGCCACTGCGCCAGGCCCAAAAGTCTGCTATATTTGGACCATGTACTCTCAATTGTCTTGTGTTATTTCCCAGTTAGGAGTGCTGACTGCAGATGGTCCCAAACATGCAAACTTGGATGACAACCAACTTCTGTCACAGCAACTTGGATGACCCAGACCATTGTTCTGTGAATCCCACACCTTCGGGGACCCCTTTACCCAACGACACCCCATCTCAGCAGGAAGCAGCTAGAAAACATCTTCACCCTTGACCCCTGTAGAAGTAGGATGTGTGATTCCACGACAGGGGTGTGAGACCATCCGAGCCTGCTGAAAGCTTGGCCACACCTTCAAGTGGGTGGCAGGAGAACTGCCCACCCATTTCCTAGCTGGTTAAGAGACCACCACTGACACGAAGCAGACAATGTGGAAATAATAGTCTTTCCCACTTTCCCGTAGCCCTTGAACCTTTTTACCCTAATTAACTATGTAAAGATTGCCAAAAATATAATTTAAAAAATGGGAAAAGTTAAAAAAAAGAGACCACCATTGGGGAACCTGTTACCTGTAGGTTTCTGCCAAATCAGGAGAGGTCCAGGGAACACTTAAAATCCCAAGACCCTTCCAAAGATTTTGGCGTCTCGTTCCCTCCAGAGGCACCTGCCGTGCAGCCCCCTCCTGGATGTGCCTTCCTCTTCCCTCTCCTCTCCCCACTCACCTGGTCACTTCACAAATAAAACTCTGAAAAAAAAAACAAGAAAACTGGGCTTAGTGCTATAGTTCAATTGGTTAATCCTACACCTCCAAGTGGCAGCACCCCACATGGGTGCTGGTTTGTGTCCTGGCTGTTCTACTTCCCATCCAGCTTCCTCCTTGTGCCCTGGGAAGGCATTCAAGGACAACCCAAAGCCTTGGGACCCTGCACCCATGTGGGAGACCCAAAAGAAGCTCCAGGTCAGCTCAGCTCTGGATGCCATTTTGGAAATGAACCAGCAGATGGAAGATCTTTATCTCTCCGTCTCTCTGAAAATCTGTCCTTCTGGGTCCAGTGCAGTGGCCTAGTGGCTAGGGTCCTCACCTTGCATACACCAGCATCCTATCATATGGGTGCCAGTTTGTGTCCTGGCTACTCCACTTTCCATCCAGCTCCCTACTTGTGGTCTGAGAAAGTAGTAGAGGATGACCCAAAGTCTTGGGACCCAGCACTCGCACGGGTTACCCAGAGGAGGCTTCTTGCTCCTGGCTTCAGATTGGCTCAGCACTGAATGTTGCAGCTGCTTGGGGATTGAACCAGCAGATAGAAGATCTTTGTCTCTCCTTCACTCTGTGAATCTGACTTTCCAATAATTTTTTTTATTGTCTTTCCCATAAAAACAAGTAAGTCTTTAAAAGAAAAAATAGTTTAAAAGTAAATTAGGGGCCCGGCGCCCTGGCGCAAGTGGTTAAGGTCCTCGCCTTGCACGCCCGGGATCCCATATGGGCGCCGGTTCTAATCCCGGCAGCCCTGCTTCCCATCCAGCTCCCTGCCTGTGGCCCGGGAAAGCAGTCGAGGACGGCCCAAAGCTTTGGAACCTGCACCCGCGTGGGAGACCCGGAAAAGGCTCCTGGCTTCGGATCAGCATAGCATCGGCCATTGCGCTCACTTGGGGAGTGAATCATCGGACAGAAGATCTTCCTCTCTGTCCCTCCTCTCTGTATATCTGACTTTCCAATAATAAAAATAAATCTTTAAAAAAAGAAAAAGTAAATTAGACTCTGTGGGGCCCGACACGATAGTGCAGTGGTTAAAACTGCATGCACCAGGATCCCATGTGGGTGCCGGTTCTCATTCCGGCGGTCCTGCTTCCCATCCAGCTCCCTGTTTGTGGCCTGGGAAAGCAGTCGAGGACAGCCCAAAATCTTGGGACCCTGCACATGTTCCAGCCCGCCCACCTGCAAGCCCGCAAGCGGTCTTCCCAGCCAGAAAGTCATGGTGGCCTGCAAGAAGGACCTCAGGACACAGACGTGGGAAACCCAGCGATATTAACAGGAGACAGGAAGGTAGCGGCCTTGCCTTAGGTCAGCAAACCAGACAGGCTGTGCAGAGGAGCCCGGGGGCCATTCACACACTTAGCGGCCATCAGCAGCTGGCCAACCTGACCTGGAACACAGGGTTGCTTCCTGGTCGGCTGACTTCCCCCGCGCCAGGACACCGTGGGACGGGAGTGGTAGGAGCAGAGGCCATAAAAAGCACCCTGCCCTCTGGCCTGCAAACCAGGGAGTCCCGCCCTCCTTTGGGCCCCAATTTCCTACCCAGTTTAGTGATTTCCTGCTACAAAATGAGTCTGATCCATCTGACTCCTGAGGTAACTGCACAGGACTCCCCTCCCCGAGCAAGGAGTGAGGGTCACTTCTGAGCGATTTCTCTGAACCGGCACCAAAGCCACTAACAAGCCCTCCTAGCATCTGTCCCCGAGTTTGCACAGCGTTGTCAGCGAGCATACCTGTCTGCTGGACGCCTGCACAGGCCTGCCCTGCACAGCCTGGGGTGTAAGGTGTAAGAAGGCAGGGGCGTGCTTTGCTCATCCCCGCAGCCTCATCACACTACCTTGTTTGAGAAACACTGGCTCCTCGGGAAACACATGTTCAATGAAAATACATAACTTCATCTCCAACGCAGAGCTCACTGCCAGAAACCTGCCAAGCACGCTCAGCTTTGAGACTCCCGGCACCGATCAGACACTTTGAGCTCCAGGTGTATGCGAGCACGCACCATCAGGAATACCTAAACCGGGCGGCCGCCTCTTAGGAGACATACGGTAGCGCTTCCGCCCTCGCTCCCAGCTCGGGCCAGGGGGGGCGGAGGGTTGTGTCATCACTCGGCGCCGGCCTGCCCCGCGACGCGCCGGCGGCTGGCGCAGCCTCTCGCTCGGCCGGCCTCCCCCTCCCTGCTTCCGCGCTCGGGTTCCGCCATGGAATCCAACAAGGATGAAGCCGAGCGCTGTATCAGCATCGCCCTCAAGGCCATCCAGAGCCAACAGCCCGACCGGGCTCTCCGCTTCCTGGAGAAGGCGCAGCGGCTGTACCCGACGCCGCGAGTTCGCGGTGCGTGTCAGGGGCCGGGACTCGGAGGGGCACATTAACAACTGAAGGAGGGGGAAGACGGGAACGGACCGGCGGCAGCAGTTGGAGGAGGGGGAGGGGTGCGAGGCGCGGCTACGCCTGCGCACTGGGGCGCGCGGTGGCTGCTGGGAGCTGTAGTCTCCCTCTCGCGCCTGCCTTGGGATGCTTGCACACCTCAGTACCGGGGCGACCGGGACCTGAGCTTTCCGGGAGTTCGACGAACCCCTGGTGGGATTTGCGACACCCGAGAATGAGATGGACTGACAGACTGGGGCTCCAAGAGAGTTTATCTGGAAGCAGATACGAACTACTTTTCCCAAGGGGCTGTTCGGTGGCCCTGGGCCACCGTTGCCGGCCTGGAAAATGTTTTTTAAAAAAAAAAGAGTTAAGGAAATATAAACATAACCCCTATGGGGGAGAGAAGTTAGAGTGAGCGACCCTCGCACGGGTTCACAGACGGGGCGTCTCTGCCCGCCGCAGCTTCTCTTCCCCCTGAGGAAGAGCTTGGGAGCTGAGGAAGGGCCTTGGGGTGCTGTGCTCAGTCGCCCACGCCCCATTCCGGAGTCCATCGGTGGTGGGGGCGGAGGGTCGTGTGGGCGGCGCAGCATCAGGCTGCTGGTGGCACTACCCCGACAACTCCCAAGCTTGTCTGCCCTCGTCGTTTCTTACACTCCAGAACCCTATTGCAAGAACCCTATGCAAACAACCAGTGAACCCCAAGTTTTCTGAGGACAAAAGAAGAGCACCGGGGTTTAGGACCTGCATCGCTTGCATTGCTCTGGGGTCTGACAGGCTCTGGATCAGCCGGGATACCCGTTCACAGGTAGCGCTGCCCTGCCCGGAGAACACAGGAGTTGGCAGGGTCGATGATACGCGCAGGGCTCTCGAGTTTAGAGAGTTGGTGATGGGAGTGACCCACCTAGGGACTGGGGGAAGGAGGGCATTCCGCAGCGGTTCAGGCTTGTTAAAGCAGGCAGGTGAAACCCAAGAGCAGCAGGCAGCCTCCGAGCCCTGCCCGCCGGTTATGCAATCTAGCCGGCCTGGAACGCTGGAGCTCTCCTCCCTCCTGACTACTCAGGTTGATCTTTAGCCCACTGGCCTCCTCTTTGGAGAGAGTTTCAGTGCGTGTTTGCCAGGACTCCTGAACTAACCTGCTGCAGGAGCTGCCTCCTGGAGCTGTGGGCCCTCCGGCTGTGGGACTCCCTGCTCCGAGGCTGCCGGAGCCCACCAGGCCACGGGAGGGGATGCGGTGGCAGCCCCCTGGGCTGGTTCAAGGAGACCAGGGTTGTCCCTGTGGCTCCAGGGGAAGAGCCACCTGCTGCATGTTTGCAGTGTTTGCACCTTTGCAAAGGGCAGCTGGGTGAACTTTGCCTTGTGTCCTCGGGTCCTGCACTGGACTCACCTGGGTTCACTGGTATTGGTTCACTGAGGCAGGGAAATCTTGGCTGAAAGATCTTAGGGGATTATCTTCACTGATACTTTGGGTCTGGGCCCCCAAAAAAGCAGATTGTTGGGCAGTCAATAGGGGAAGAGACTGTTTGCAACATCCCATGCTTGCTGCCAGCCAGTGTCGCAGGACTGATGAGATGTGAGCCCTTGCTTTAAAGAGCGTATAGTGAAGGACTCAAAGGTATGGGTGGAGAAAATCGCAGAACCCAAGATGATAACTGGAATTGAACAAACATCCCGTCCCCAGTACCCGTGGGGCAAGTGTGAAGGGCAGACACATTCCAGCAATAAATTGTAAGCAGTGTGTAGGTAAATGCCATTACAAGGGCGTAAAAATAGCGTGCTTTCACTACAGGGAAGGCTGCGCAGAGCAAGCCGGGAGGCAGTCTCCGCTGTGCTGCTGGAGTAAGGCATGACTCGGAGGCCACAGTGGCGCTGACAGGCAGATAGGACTGGAAAAAAAAGTGGAGCTGGATTATGGAAATCTTTCTGTAGTTACTGAAGAAGTCAGTGAAGGGTTTTTAAGAACTTTTTTTTATTTCTTTGAAAGGCAGAGTTACAGAGAGAGATGGGAAGAGAAAGAGAGTGTGCCCGCTTCCAACTACTGGTTTACTCCCCAAATGGCTGCAACAGCTGGGGCTTCATCCAGGTCCCCCCACACGTGCATGCAGGGACCCCAGTGCTTAGGCTGTCTCCCACTGCTTTCCCAGGTGCATTAGCAGGGAAGAGCTGGATCAGAAGTGGAACAGCCAGATCTCAAAGTGGTACCCAGATTGAATGCCAGCATAGCAGGTGGTGGCTTAACTTGATACACCACAACACCAGCCCCATATGGAAGGTTTTGATAGCAAGAATAAGGATGTTTTTACAAGAGAACAACAAAGAGGACTGATGGGCAGGAAGAGATTCACAGAGGGAAAAATCAGTTGCCTTGAATGGGTTAGTCGTTACAAAAGCCTGAAATAAGATGATATGGATAAGGAATAGGAATGCTGGGGGATGTGACTCAGAACCTCTGTGAGTGACCAGGAGGAACCTGGGCTGAAGAACGGGGGTGGGATGACATGAGGGCATTCAGGAGGAATGATCAGTTTGGACTCAGGCACCAGGTAAAAGTCTGATGGCATTTGGTAGAGCTCCTCAGGCAGGTACCGGGCAAGTGTGCATAGGCGGAGGCGGCCATGGAGCAAGGCAGCAGGCAGAGGCGGTCCCTGGAGAGGACAGCCGCCAGGTAGCCATGGAGAGGTGTGTGGAGGTAGTGTGCACCTGTCCCGGCAGGTGCTGCGGAGGCTCCATGGGAAAAGGGCTAATGAAGGAGTGAAGGGAGATGGATCAGGAGCATGTGTGGAGCACAGGCATTGGGGAAGTAGAGGCACAGGTGGGGAGAGAGGCCACGGGAGGCTCAGAGCCACTGTGGGGTCCAGGAGCCCCTCACGGAGGGAACTCCATGAAGAGACTTGGGTCTACAGCCATAGGAGGTAACCAGGGGTGCACCAGGGCTGACGAGTGCCTTGTGGAGCAGTAGCTGGGCTGCAGGCCAGGCGGCTGCAGAACAGGATGACGGGCCTGGGCATTCCTCTACTGGGAGGTTCTGTCCAGCACCCAGCAGCCTGACAGTCACTGACTCTGCTGGGGGCCCAGCAGCAATGGTGCAAGGCACCAGATTTCCTGAGGAGCTGACGGAAACATCTGCATGTGCAGGCCTCAGATTGCACAGGGAGAGAGGGTCGGCCGGCATGGTCCCCAAGGGTCCTTGCAGTTCAGGGTCCCTTGTATACTGCACCCTTCCATTCTCTTGATTGCTACAGAGTCTCCTTCTACCTGACAGCAGCTCTGAGATGAATGCACTCAGTTGGTAAAGGCATGTGGCCGATGTGCAAAGAATTCACAAGTGCCCGCGCCCATTGGGACAAGCTCCCAGCTCTGACCTCCCCTTCTCCCTCCTGCAGGGAGAGATCCTGAAACCCAACTGCTTGTCTAACAACAAAAGCAACAATAACCCATTCCACACAGCAGTAGTTGCTAGGCATTGTGCTAAGTTTTACTGTGTGCCATTCTCTTCCCAAGTGCCTGAGTGGTTGGGCCTGGGCCAGAGCTGAAGCCAGGAGCCAGGACCTCTGTCCAGGTCTCCCACGTGCGTGGTCAGGACCCAGTGAATGAGTCTGAATCACCACTGCCTCCCAGGGTCTATGTTGCCAGGAAACTGGAATCAGAAGCTGCAGGCAGGTGTCAGACCCAGGCCCTCCAAGGTGTGACAGACGCCCCACCCACTCGTAGGAGACAGTTTTGCACGGAGACACTGGGTTAGGTTGTCTGGAGTGCCGCGGCTAGCAAGTGGCAGAGACGGGTGTGAAGCGGCTGGCCAGTCTTGACTCTGCAGGGTGAATTTGAAGGGGTAGCCCCTGCTGGAACACACACACACACCCATCTGCCGCCTTTCCCGTGCCACCTTGTCTTCTTCCATTGATTGCCTAGAAAGAGTCAGAGCGGGATCAGCAGGAGACTGTCATGTCCCTCAATCTGTGACATTTCCTAGTAGCCACATTGTGGTGGGGGGCCTCACACAGAGCTGTCTAGGCCACGAGACTTGCCCGCTTGCCGGCACCCAGAAGACTCAAATTTTCCGCTCCAGCAGGAAACTGTGGTGTGGCCCAGAACACATCCATTCCCCTTTGGGCTCTCTTCACACGGTGTGGCCACATTCCAGGGGGTGACTCCAGGGAATTTCCCTATAAAACATCCAGAATCTTCCCTGAGCCCACCATTTCCTGGCTGAGGTCTCTTGTGTTTGTGGCAATCAGATGGCCACTTCTATTGCACGGAGGACATGTCAGGCTCATTCTGGACCCCTGGACTTCCAGAGAAACTGAAATAAACAACTTCTTTAAAAAAAAAAAAAAAAGATTGGGCCCGGTGGCGTGGCCTAGCAGCTTAAGTCCTCGCCTTGAAAGCGCAGGGATCCCATATGGATACCGGTTCTAATCCTGGCAGCTCCACTTCCCATCCAGCTCCCTGCTTGTGGCCTGGGAAGGCAGTCGAGGACAGCCCAAAATCTTGGGACCCTGCACCCGTGTGGGAGACCCAGAAGAGCTCCTGACTTTGGATCAGCGCAGCACCAGCCATTGCAGTCACTTGGGGAGTGAACCATCAGAGGGAAGATTTTCCTGTGTCTCCTCCTCTCTGTATATATGACTTTCCAATAAAAATAAATAATTTGGAAAATAAATAAATAATTGGAAAGTCATATATACAGAGAGGAGGAGAGACAGAGGATGATCTTCTGCTCACTGATTGACTCCCCAAGTGACTGCAATGGCTGGTGCTGCGCCGATCCAAAGCCAGGAGCCAAGAACTTCTTCCAGGTCCCATTCGGGTGCAGGGTCCCAAGGCTTTGGGCCATCTGCTACCTCTTTCCCAGGCCACAAGCAGGGAGCTGGATGGGAAGCTGGGCTGCCGGGATTAGAACCAGCGCCCATATGGGATTTTGGCGCGTTCAAGGCAAGGACTTTAGCCTCTAGGCCACCGTGCTGGGCTCAAACAACTTCTTGAACATGTATTAGTTCACTTGAGAAAGAACCAATTCATTGGTTTGCTCCCCAAATGCCTGCAGTGGCTAGAGCTGGGTTGAGGCCAGAACCAGGGACTGGAGAGCTCAGTCCAAGCCTCCCAGGTGAGTGGCTGGAGCCCAAGTACTTGACCGTCACCGCTGCCTCCCAGGGCTGGACCCAGGCATTGCAGGGAGGGACATGGACCCGATGGCCCCGATGGCCACCCAGGAAGTTCTCAAGAGCCCTAGAAGTCAGTCGTCCTCTGTCCCTCCCTGCACCAGCATGCCTTCATTTGTCGGTGTCTTCCCTTGCCAGTCTGCCAGCGTCTGGGCCAGCCTGGAATCTTCTGGTCCAGAGCCAGCTGAATGCCGAAGCTTAGCCTAAGCCTTGGACCACCCCCACCCGCCTGCCCCCCACCCCACTGGGGTTCCACCAGCTCTCCAGCCAGCCTTCCCCCATCGCCACCCACACCACCAGCCCAGGCCATAACTGCAGCTGGTTTTTTGGGAGGGAAGGGGGGGTTGTTCCTTTTTTTTTTTTTTTCCTTTTTCTTTTTCTTTTCTTTTTCTTTTTAATACTTACAGACTTACTTATTTGAAAGGCAGAGTAACAGAGAAGCGGGAGAGAAATAGAGATCTGTCCACCAGTTCACTCCCCAGATGCCCACAGCAGCCTGGGCCAGCATGGGCTGATACAGGCTCTGTCCAGACCTTCCATGGAGTGACAGGGATCCAGCTAGTTGGGCGATCCCTGCATCATAGACGCATTGGCAGGAAGCTGAATCGGAAGTGCTGAGTACCCACAGTCATTTAAAAGTCCCAATTTAGGGGGTCGGCACTGGTGGGGGCTATGGAGCTAATAGCGCTTATTAAAAGGTGAGCAGTAACAGAAATTGGGCTTGCAGTTACAGCAGAAACACAGGCTGAACTTTTAACCCTGCAAAGCACCTGGACTCATTTTCCAGACTGAGAAGAGTTGGACTCAACTGTATGTAATTGTTTGGCCAAAGGTCTTTGCAGGAAAGGTATATAAGGCGAGAAGAGAGACCTCTGGGGAAAACTTCCCCGATCGCTGGTCTCCTGTTGGGCTTCACCCCCAGCCCCTCTCTGTCCCACGTTCCTGGCTCTGCTGGCCGGAGCACAGCACCGTGGCTCAGCTGCTGCAGCCGTTTAAGGAGTGAGCTGGTGGGTGGAAGAGCTTTCTCTCTGTCTCTCCTCTCTATAAATTTGTCCTTCAAATAAAAATAAATTTTTTAAATTTAATTTAGGCAGAATTTTCATATCCTGATAGTCTTCAAAATTATGACTAGTTTTGTTCATCAGTCCTACAGACTTTAACTTCAAACTCATTTATTTTCTGTTCTACTTTATTTCCTACTGTGTGCTCCATGTAGCTACTGAACTCATTCAAATCTGCAGGCGCTTACTTGCTCTGCCTCACAAAATACTCAGTTCATTATACTATCTGCTATTATTTCCTGTTTGTATCCTTGTTGGGTTTTTTAAGCTTTTTTTAAAAAAAGTTTTTATTTAAAAAGCAGAGTTGCAGAGAAGGAGGGAGGCAAAGAAAGAGATATTCCTTCTATTGGTTCACTCCCCAAATGACCACAGTGTCCAGAGCTGGGCCAGTCCATAGCCAAGAACCTGGAGCTTCTTCCAGATCTCCCACATGCGTACAGGGGCCCAATGACTTGGGCCATATTCTGCTCTTTTCCCAGGCACATTAACAGGGAGCTAGATTGAAAGTGGGATAGCAGGACTTGAATCCACGCCCATAATGGATGCCAGCACTGCTGGTAGTGGCTTAACCCACTGTGCCACAGCACCATCCCCCAGAATAGTTTTTTGAAAGTAGGAAGCCGGGGTGGGTATATGGTGCTGCTTGAGATTAGAGTGCTTAGGTGTGAGTCCTGACTACCTGGAGGGCATGTGAGGGTCAAGTACTTGTTCCCTGTTGCTTTAAGGAAGACCCAGGTTGAGTTCTCAGCAATCTTTTTTTTAAAAAAAATGTATTTACTGTATTGGAAAGGCAGATATATGTAGAGAAGGAGAGACTTCCATCCAATGATTCACTCCCCAAGTGCCCGCAACGGCCGGTGCTGCGCTGATCCAAAGCCAGGAGCCAGGAACTTCTTTCCGGGTCTCCCACGCGAGTGCAGGGTCCCGAGGCTTTGGGCCATCCTCAACTGCTTTCCCAGGCTACAGGCAGAGACCTGGATGGGAAGTGGAGCTGCCGGGATTAGAACCAGTGCCCATATGGGATCCTGGCGCGTTCAAGGCGAGGACCTTAACCATTACACTATCATGCTGGGCCCGAAAATAATCTTTTTAAAAATAAAAAAACATTAAAATTAATACTTACTGTTTTGATAATTGTGTACTAACACAAATTCACTATTTTTTTTAAGATTTATTTATTTTTATTGGAAAGGCAGATATACACAGAAAAGGAGAGACAGAGAGGAAGATCCGTCCGATGGTTCACTCCCCAAGCAGCCACAATGGCTGGAGCTGAGCCAGTCTGAAGCCAGGAGCCAGGAACCTCTCCCAGGTCTCCCATGCAAGTGCAGGATCCCAAAGCTTTGGGCCATCCTCAACTGCATTCCCAGGCCACAAGCAGGGAGCTGGATGGGAAATAAGGCCACCGGGATTAGAACTGGCACCCATATGGGATCCTGGTGCATTCAAGTGAGGACTTTAACTGTTACGCTATCACGCCAGGCCCTATTAATTGTTTTAAAAGATTTATTTATTTTATTATTTTTTTATCAGAATTCTTTTTAAAGATTTATATTTATTATTTTTTTATTGGAAAGGCGGATATACAGAGAGGAGAGACAGAGAGGAAGATCTTCCGTCCGATGACCCACTCCCCAAGTGAGCGCAACTGCCGATGCTATGCCGATCTGAAGCCAGGAGCCTCTTCCGGGTCTCCCACGCGGGCGCAGGGTCCCAAAGCTTTGGGCTGTCCTCGACTGCTTTCCCGGGCCACAGGCAGGGAGCTGAATGGGAAGCAGGGCCACCCTGATTAGCAGCGGTGCCCATATGGGATTCTGGTACATGCAAAGCGAGGACTTCAGCTGCTAGATTTCCACACTGGGCCCTAAATTTTTTTTAAAAAACCAAAGAATGCAAATGGGAAATAATAGCAGATAGTGCAATGAACTGAGTATTTTGGATATTCTATGTGTGAGGCAGTGTGAGAGAGAAGTGTGCAGATTTGAATGAATTCAGTAGAAAACATGGATTCCAAGCCATTACACGGAAGGAAATAAAATCGATTTGTCTGTAGGACTGATTAACAAAAACCAGTTACGATTTTGAAGACTTGCTAGAACATTGAAATTCTGCCTAAGTTTATACTTTTAAACGTTTATTTATATGAAAGAGTGGGAGAGAGAGGGGGATCGCCCATCCACTGGTTCACTCCCCAAATGGCCACACAGCCAGGGCTGCATCAGGCTGAAACTTGGCCTAGTATCTGGGTGGCAGGGCCCCCCGGTGCTCAGACTGTCTGCCTCTGCCTTCCCACACTGCATTAACAAGAAGCTAAGTCACGGCAGGGCCTGTGGGGCTCACCGGCAACCCAACGCACCAACAACACGAGCGGTGGTTTAACTGGTGCGCCACAGCACCGACCCCCTGCCTGAGCGTCTTCAAGAAGAGAGGAGATGATTATACTCATAAATGTACTGTCTGAAAACCAAAGCAGCGCTGCAGATTTATTCATTAAATTATGTGATTTCAGTGTTCACCTGAGGAGAGCAGGCGGCTTCACCTCAGCAACAGCCTCAGGCCCCCATGAGGAAGGAGCAAGGGCCTTCGCTGGGCAGGGGCGCTGGGGCCCCGGCCTCTGCCTCGCCCCACAGCCTGGCCGGGCCCTCAACAGTTTCCTTGTCTTCCACAGCCCTAATAGAGTCCCTCAACCAGAAGTCACAGTCTGCCAGTGACCAGCCGCCATCCACAGACACACCCCATGCCACCCACAGGAAAGCAGGGAGCACCGAGGCCCCCTCGGCCAACGGCGAAGCCGGAGGAGGAGGAGAGGCCACCAAAGGCTACACTGCCGAGCAAGTAGCAGCTGTTAAAAGGTAGCAGGGTCTGGCCAGGCCTGGGAAGATCGTGGGGTGAGGGGTGGTTGGAGGAGACTCAGTGGAACCCCTGCTTAGCTCCCACAAGGCCCCAGAATACGGGGGAGCCAGGCCGTCCCTGCTGCCCAGACGACCACAGCGGAGGCTGGAGATGCTTACATCACCGGCTTCCAGGCCCCGTGCCTCTTGACACAGCCGTGTTTGTCAGAGATGGGACTTGGCCTCCCCTCCAGCTCCTTCCCCAACAAAGACCTGTTCAGACTAAAGCCTGTGTGGGGCGCAGAGGCGGCAGGAAGCAGAACCACCCCTGCAAGGCTGTGTGGCTCGCCACCAGGTCTGAGACCACCTGGTGCAATCCCAGGCCTCAGGATTCCTTCCGGGCCATCTCACCTGCTGGCTGCCCTCTAAGACACAGCAGCCACCCATGACCAAGTGTTACTGTGGTTGCGGTGGAGTTACACGTGTGACCTGAGTCCAACCCCGTTCATCAGTTGCAGGCAGTGGAAACTGACCTTAGGAGAACCAGAGTCTCTTCAGAACCGACACACCCTTTCCATTTCCGGCCCTTCTGTTCCCCACTCAAGACTCCAGGCACTGGACGTGGAGACACTGCCAGTCCTTCTGAGTGCCCCAGTGAGGGAGCTGGCAGCAAAAGGCAGCCAGGTGGCAGCCACCCCTGCTAAAGCATCACCAGCAGCTGTGACCCACAGTTGGAGTCTGCCATGGCTCTTCCGGCCTCAAGTCGGGCAGCTGACCTAGGGGCCCGGCTGCCCTGCCCTTCAGGGCCCTTGGAGGGTGCCCACTACCATGTTCCTCTCCCTCCCAGGGTCAAGCAGTGTAAAGATTACTACGAGATCTTGGGTGTGAGCAGGGGAGCCTCAGAGGAGGACCTGAAGAAGGCCTACCGCAAGCTGGCCCTCAAATTCCACCCAGACAAGAACCACGCACCTGGTGCCACGGAAGCATTCAAAGGTCAGCGGGCCCCGGTGTCCTGGGGAGGGAGGGCAAGATGCAGTACCAGGCTGGATTCCTGGGCTCAGGAGCTACTGCCTGGGCAGAAGGTTCTGGCCACAGGCCCCAGTGGCCACGGGAGAGGTGTAACCCCTGCTGCATCCTTTCCCTACACCTCTTGGAGCTGTCCCAGCGTCCTGTCGTGGACGCAGGCGAACACAGGCCTCCTGGCTTGCCCTACTCACTTCCCGTTGGGCAGCAGTGTGCCCATGCTAAGGGGCAGGGAAGCCCCGGATCAGGACCTCTGGCTCCCTGCACACCCCCTCAGCCTGTGGGGAGTAGGGCCGTCTCTTCGGCCTCAGGGTTGCTTGGTGTGGGAATGGGGGCACTACTTCTGGTCAAAACTATCAGCTGCCCTTTATTCATTTGTATTTTCTTTCTTTTTTTCTTCTTTCTCTTTTTCACTTTCTCTTTCTTTCTCTTCTTTCTTTCAATAAATTCCAAGGGAAAGTTTCTTTTAAGATTTAATTTTATTTTTATTGGAAAGGCAAAGTTACAGAGAGAAGGAGAGACAGAGATCTTCCATCTACTGGGTCACTCCCCGAATAGCTTAAAGGCCAGAGCTGGGCCAGTCTGAAGCCAGGAGCTTCTTCTAGATCTCCCATGTGGATTCAGGGGCCCAAGCATGTGAACCATCCTGCACTGCTTTCCCAGGCACCTAGCAGGGAGCTGGATCAGAATGGAACAGCCAGGACACAAACCAGTGCCCGTATGGGGGGGCTGGCACCACAACTGGAGGATTGACTTGCTATACCACAGCATTGGACCCTTACATTTTCATAACACAGGCTTGCTGGAGGGCCTGGGGGCTGGACTCCAGGAAGGAGGAGGTTCAGCCCAGCAATAGCAGCAATACCAGGCAAGTCGACCGGGTCCCATGAGTCACTGCTGCTTTCCTGTGCCCGGCAAGAACATCATTATTGGCTTGGCCCCTTGTCATACTGTGACTTCCAGATGTCTTACCTCCCGAAAGGGCTGCCCCAACCCATTGGGGTCAAGAGAAGGAAGTTGATGGTTTTCATGAAGTCAGAAAATTTGAAGTAGGGACCTGCATTGTGGCCCAAGGGGTTAAGCCACCACTCGAGATGCTGGCATCCCTTACCGGGGTGTTGGTTTAAGTCCTGACTACTGTATTTCCCATCTAGCTTCCTGCTAACGGCCCAGGATGCCTATAAAGATGGCCCAGGTGCCTGGGCTCCGGTCACCCACGTGGCAGACCAGGATGGAATTCCAGGCTCCTGGCTTGGCCTAGACCAGACCTTACTATTGTGGTCACATGGGAAGTGAACCAGTGAATGGAAAAGCAAGCTCCACTCTCTCCTTCTTTCTCTGGTATTCTTTTCGATTAGATAGATAGATAAACAGACTGACTGACCAACAGACCTTTGAGGCAAGACATTTCCAGGTTTGACTCTCGGCTCTGCCACGGTGAACCCAGAGGCTGCTGTGCACGCCAGGCCTCTCTGTGCCCTGGTCTGCTCATGGGTTAGGTGTGCTGGCGTCAGAGAAGGCCTTCAGCGCCAGGAGCAGAGCAGGCAGCTCGAGCCTGCCCTGCACGTGTGTGTCAGCCACACTTGCCACCCGCCCCTCTAAAGCGGAAGCTGACAACAGAGCGCTGGCCTAGCCCCAGCACTCCCGGCTGACCATCCCGCCTCCCTCCCAGCCATCGGCACCGCATACGCGGTACTCAGCAACCCTGAGAAGAGGAAGCAGTACGACCAGTTCGGTGATGACAAGAGCCAGGCAGCCCGGCACGGCCACGGGCACGGGGACTTCAACCGAGGCTTCGAGGCGGACATCTCCCCTGAGGACCTCTTCAACATGTTCTTTGGTGGTGGCTTCCCTTCTAGTAAGTTCTCCACCCTCTACCAGCCGGGTCTTCCCAGGGGTCATAGGGGGAAACCCGGGATCAGCCCTATCATCCCCTTTCCCTGGTTCTTGACTCATTCCCCTCCTACCCCCAGGTAACGTCCACGTGTACAGCAATGGCCGCATGCGCTACACCTACCAGCAAAGGCAGGACCGCAGGGAGAACCAGGGTGACGTGAGTGAGGAAGGTGGGAGGAGGAGGAGCCCACCCCAGGGTGTGGGTCTCAGAGGAGGGAGCTCCCATGCAGGCCATTCTGGGCCCTGCGATGCTGCCATTCTGCAGAGCCACACCAGGGGGAGCCAGATGCCACGTTGCCTGCGGGAGTGAGGCTTCAAAGGCCTGTGTCGGCCTGAAAGGCAGCAGCTTCTCCACCTGCAGACAAGAGGCTGGGGCTGGATGGCTTTTTGTGCTGGCTGTCATTCTAAAGGCCTGCGTGACGTTTGCCATCTTTGAACTCCGTGAGAGAACTAACTCAGTGCTGACCCTGCTTCCTCTCAGCACTCTTAGGACCACAGGCCCAGCAGGTGCCAGCTGAAGTGACAGCTGCTCAGGCCGGCAGAGGGCTCCCTCCTCCTCTGACAGTGCTGACTTGCTCATTGTACAAATCTTTATTTTGTACTTAACCTACATAGGGATTTTAAAGCTACAGACCCTCACACCATGAATTAGTATTTTTTCTCATTTCTAAAAATTTAGTTGGTAGATCTTGAATTAGTAGCAGATTATATGATGCGAAACCCGAAAAGGCAGGGATGGTGGCAGTTTCCTTCCGCCCTGCGTCGCTGTCCTGGAGGCAGCTGCGTGCTGGGTTTGCAGCCACACACTGGGTTTTGGTGTTTTCTCACAGGGAGGTGCAGATCCCTCCCGCCTCCTGTATTTGGTCCCAGCTGCTGTTTTGTTTCTGTCAGGGGACCCAGCAGGTGGAAGAGCTTGGTGTTGTTCCCTCACTGGGTGGCAGGAGGCGGGGGCTGGCCATGTTTGTGGCCGTGGCTGCTGCCCCCCATTCGCAGCTCAGGCCAGCTGACTGTTGGCTCCTCCCTACAGGGTGGCCTCGGGGTGTTTGTCCAGCTGATGCCCATCCTCATCCTTATCCTCGTGTCGGCTCTCAGCCAGCTCATGGTCTCCAGTCCACCATACAGCCTGAGTCCCAGACCGTGAGTGCCTGCCGTGGGGGCCGTCCAAGTTGGCAGGCGGGTGGAGGACTGCGGCCTCAGCGCCCCCACCAGGGGCCTGCCTACCCAGTCTACCCAGCAGGTCCGCTGTCACAGCACAGGCGTCTGCCAGAGAATCCAGGAATGGCTGGACCTGTGAGGTCCTGGCTCTCTGAGACCGTGCTGTGGAAGTTACAGACCCCACCCCTTGCCTGACTCCTTCCCCCAGCTCCGCTCCCCCTCCACCCCAACCCAGCCTCATCCCTCCCACCCCCAGCAGGGGGCCGTGAGCAGAATGAAGGTGGCTTTCAAGCCCAGCCTCTCTGCTGGACACCTTGACCTAGACATGCTCCACACGTTTTCTCATCTGTAGCATGAGAATCAGAGGATCCACTTGCTTGTGAAAATGTACTGAGTGACACAGATGCTGTGGCTAGATCCCTAATCATGTCGAGCCGCGTGTGTTGAGGGTTAGGTGACCTCCACAGCCAGCAGAGACCTGCCCCTGTGTAGTATCTGCTCTCTCTCCTCTGCTGTCTGGCACCTCAGCCCATTTCCTGGATTCAGCAGGCACCCAACTGCTTGAGCTGCAGGGAGTCTGTTATGCTCTTTCTCAGCCAACAGGGGGCAGAGTTGGTCCACTGGGCCCACAGCCTGTGCTCAGGCTCAGAGCCCAATGTCAGGATGTGCAGGGACTGTGCCTTGGGGGCCAGCTCCTGTCTGGGTGCTGCAGCTCCTCCTCCAGCATTTCTCCCCAAAGGCCCCAGGTCGACAGTGGGGGATGGAACCCAACAGAAGAGTTGTCATCACCTAGGCTCATCACTTGTGTCCAACGACACCTGCCTTTCCTTCGGGCCCTCATTTTGGGTGGCACACAGGATCCTGCGGTAGTATGGGAGGGAGCCATCAGCTGTCACCCATGTGGCACTGCTTGTCATGGGGCCCTGTCGCTCCTAAGTCCTCCTAGGGCATGAAGTCTCAGGCCCACTGACATCCAGTATGCTTCTGGCCAGGTCGGTGGGCCACGTGCACAAACGAGTCACAGACCACCTGGGGGTCACGTACTACGTGGCTGACAGCTTCACTGAAGAGTACACAGGTTCCAGCCTCAAAACAGTCGAACGGAATGTGGAAGACGATTATATAGCCAACCTCCGCAACAACTGCTGGAAGGAAAAGCAGCAGAGTAAGTACACGCATGCTCACACAGCTGTGTGGAAGGCTGGCAAGGGGCGCAACCTGAGAACGGGGCAGGGGAAAGCCCTCCTTGCCCACAGGCCCTGGCAACGCCCAAACCAGCCAACTCCCAGCCAAGAACTGGACACCACTCCTGCATTTCCCTAGGGCCAGGTCACCAGGGCCAGCTGGTGTTTCTCCAGCAGGTACCCAGGGATCACAACACTCAGCCCGCCGTTCTGGCTGCTGCTCCCTGATTGTGTGTGCAGATCTGTGCTCAGGATTCCGGGGAGGTCCCCTCCTTGACTGACTTCTTGCGAGGCGGGACCACCGGCTGCCCCTTCAAGCTCATCTCCAGGGAGAAATCCCACTCCGCCTGCCCATACTCCCAGACCTGTCGCAGCCTTCCCCCCCTCGCCCAGCTGTCCCCAAGCCCAGGCAGACCTGCAGCCGCGGAAAGGCACAGTCTGCCCACTCACCCGTGCCCATTGCCTTGCAGAGGAAGGCTTGCTGTACCGGGCCCGCTACTTCGGCGACAGCAACATGTACCACAAGGCACAGAAGATGACCACCCCAAGCTGTAACCGGCTGTCAGAGGTGCAGGCCTCCCTGCATGGATAGTCCGGGGCCAGCCACACCAAGGTCCAAGTATGAGCCAGGGCTGCCTCTCCCTGCAACTCCTGGCAGCTTTGGCCCTGGTGCTGAGGCAGAGGAGGAGGGAGAGGGAGGAAGCACGGGTGAGGGATGGTGTGGAAATCAGGGCACAGACTTACACCCCAGCCAACCTCCGGTCTCCAGAGGCGATAGCCCTGGAACCTGCTTGGAAACTGCTGTCCATTTCAGCTCTGCGGATGCTCTCACCCCTCACCACCCCCTTCTCCCTGGCTCTGTGGCTCGTGGTTGCCCCAAAGCCAGGCAGGGGCACACCAGGGTCTGGGCCATAGCCCTTCCCCAGGCACAGCACACCAGGGTTCGGGCCCTGTCATCCGCCCCTGCCCACCTGATAGTAGGAAGGGATATGGGGGAGCAGGGAGGCTGAGAGCACCCCACCTCCTCTGCACTTCCCAGTCAAATAAAATGTAGCAAGATGGCCTAGGCAGCCTGGCCCAGGAGAGCAGAGACCCGAGCTCTGTGGTCACTGCCCATCCACTCAGTAGGACCTGAGGCCCCTTCTGCAGAGCGCTCCTGCACCTGGCTAGCCACAGGCATTCCATCCGGCCTGCCCAGGCCTCCTGCCTGAGCTCTGAGGGAGGAGGCAGAGGGTCAGGAGTTCAGACTTGGCCACAGCCGTTCAGCACCGGATGCTTCCACCCCAGCCGTGGGGCCTGGGCTCTGCTCCCAGAGTCTGCCAGAGAGCCAGTAGAAGGGCGTGGGTAGCACCAGGAAAGGTGGCTTTCCATGCAGGGACCCTGGCTGGTCCCTCCCTTGCCTGTGTCCCTTTGGCTGGGGTCCACCTGCGGGCTGTATGCTTGGAGACTATTTGTCAGGCCCTTTGCGGAGAGAAGAGCACAGGACTCTGCATGGGCACCAGCCATACATGGATGAACTAACTGGCACCCCTCTCCTCCCCAGACTATGAAATCCCTGGAGAACTTCTGGTGACACGCACTGAGCCAAGGTGACAGACTGTGTATTTAAGGAAAGGCATACAAAGCAAAACCATTAAAGTGGAATTGGAGGCCGAACGCTGCCCAGCTGCCCTCTCTCTCACCCAGTAACGCCGAAAGCTACAAGGACAGACCGGAGCCCTGCCTGCCGTGCCCGGGGCTGCCTTCCTCCCACCGGCGGCGCTGGCAGAGGCTCTGCACGTGCACCCTCCTAGGAGACTGAAACCATAGCAACGGAAAGAAAATGTAACCCCAGCAGCATCTGTCCAGGGGAAGGGCTGAGGGGGCACCCAGTTGCTGGGGTCACCTCCCCAGGAAGCCGTCACCAGCCTCATGCAGGCACCTCTTAGGCCAGGCCAAGGAGGTAGAGGAGGTGGGAACAGCGCTGTCCCTGAGTAACTTATAGCTGTGTGTGTATGTATATATATCTATTTATATGTAAATAGGCATATATAAAGATATATATATATATATATATATTCTACTTTTTAACTATGCAGGGGTTTGCCTAGGTTGTTGAGCTGACTTCTTCCCTATGTTAGAAAGGGCAGCCTGTTCAGGGCAAGGCAGCCTGGTCCTTCTACAGCTAAATGTGGGCCATGGTCAGTGACATGATGAACATTATAGGGGCTCTCCACGTCACCCCACCCTGGCCCCTTTTTGAATGGCAATAGTAATCATGGTAGTCTTAAATCTATAGGAAACGTATCACGGTCACCAGGTGTAGGGCCAGGCTGGAGAGAGGCCAGGCTGGAGAAGGGACGGGTGCCCCTCAGGGCAGGAGCCAGGTCAGTATTGAGACAGAGGGTGTAGGGGGAGGCTAGGCAGGACCTGCTGGCGAGAGACCATCCCTTCAAGCCGCTGCCCCTGGTAGTCCCAGTGGGCTCAATGGCCTGTGCCCAGTAGCCCTCCTCTCCCCCCGCCCTGCACATGGGGCAGGACAGCGAGCCCTGGCATGGACAGCAGCAGGTTCCTGGGCGGCCTTTCCCTGCCCCCAAGTCCCTCAGTGAGTTTTGCCTTATAGGTGCCCCAGGGCCCAGCTCTATCATTGCCTAAATCGTGCACCAAGGACTCCAGAAGTCTTTTCTCCTGGTCAGCCAGCTGGCACCCAGGAATACAGGCACAGCCCCACTACTGAGGAGGAGTCACTGTCCTCGGGTGCCTCTGTCTACACCCCCAAGGACAGGGACAGGACTCCACCAGGCCAAAAGCGTGTCACCCTCTACTTCAGTGAGGCGCACTCAGTATACCCCTGGCTGTCAGGAAGGAGGGTGGGTTAGGCATTCCCAGAGTTTGCTGGGCCTCTTGAACTGCCCACAGCCCTCGAGTCCTTGTGTGGCAGCAGCAGTGGCGATGGGCGCGTGACCAAACGCCAGCCTCCCAAAGCCTTACTTCCTATGCCGCCAGCCAGAAGGGCAGCCCTCTGTGCCCATGGTTTCTCTTGGCTCTCATCTGCTCATCCTGTGCCCAACCAACAGGATGCTTACTGGAATAGGAAGTTGGGTAAGAAAACATCAAACCTGGTTTTATTTTTTAAAACAAGTGACGTAGCCACCCTGGCCCCGAGAGACCCTAAGAACTGGACATGGGCTAGAGCGCTCCACTGCCACGGCCCCAGTGTTCTGTCCCGCCTCCCCCACAGCTGCCTGGTCTCGGTAGATGTCCCTAGCTGGCTGAGCCATGTGCAATAAGAACATAGATCCCAAAGGATCCCCGACAAGCTGTATTTCTTGAATTAGAATTCTGAAATTGTACATCTATAAATATATGTTTATTATGTGATTGGCCTCGCTGGCTCTGCATTGAGCAGGGGGATGTGGGGGTGGTGTTGGGGTGGAAGGTGGGAGGAAACTCAAGCACCTGTTGCTGACACTGTTCGGGTGGCAGGGAAGTTCCATCTAGCAAGCCGGGGAGGGCTGGGCACTGTCTGGCACAGCCTGGGGTCCCAGACTGTCACCTCCACTTTCCTTTCTCTCTCAGCCGCTCTGTCCTGTGCACAGCCCCCCTGCTCGCTCTCTCTGACCTCAGCTCAGCTCAGCTAGAGGCCGCAGCATTTCTGGCTTTGCAGTCCAGTCCCCACACCACCCCCACTGCCTGCCTCCTCCCGGGAGACTGGAAAAGTTCAAGATGTGGCAGCCCAGTGAGCTCCCACCAAGGAACAGAGGAGCAGCACAGATCTGCCTGGACCTCCCAGAGACAGGGCCCGGCAGCCCTGACTGGTGGGCCGAGGCCCCTCCTGCCTCGGCACCAGCCAAAGACAGGCGGGCTGCCTGGTGGTGCCACCACAGCCGCGGAGCTCATTGGCTGTCCTGCCCAGGGTCACTGCAGCCTGCGAGCAGCCACTTGTTACTGCAGTCAGTTGGCCCTAGTGTTGCCAGGTGCCCCCATTCACCTTCCCCCCCCTCACAGCTGCCTACTGAGAGCCAGAAGGGGTGGGACCCTCAAGAAAAAGGTTTGCACAAGGACGCCCCGCCCCATCAGGTGGCCAAACAAGCCACTTTCCGCCGAGCTACCCAGGATCTGCCAGCTTATCTGCTTGTCCTGTGCAGACGGAGAAGGAAGCGCTCCTCCAAGGCACAGAGATCAAGTGCCCTGTTGGCCTGGGGCCGGCTGTCACCCGGTCACCCGACCAGACCATCTAGGCGGGCACGCAGCTGTGCCAAGACCCAGGCTCACAGATGGTTGACACAGTGTCGCTTCTGCAGACACTCAGCCCTGCCAGACACCCCACTATGGGACAGGAATGGGCCAGCCCACTTCCCAGAGCAGGAAGCTACAGCTTTGGGGGTCGGTGAGGGGGAGGCACGACACCCAACACCCTCCAAGAAGTAGCGCCTTCTTTGGGGTTCGAAGCAAGACTAGCTATGCCAGGTATGAGTCCAGGAAGGTGGACAGGGCCAGCCAGCCACAGGAAAGAGGAGCCCTAGTCTTGGTGGGGCCACAAGCTGCCCGTTGGAGCAGGTGTCTCCTTACACTGACATGGCCATGCTGCTAACATTGGCTGTTAGTTGGGTGGCCACTATGGCGGCTGGAACTTGTCTGGCCATTTGTGGACTGACTCTGGGCAAACCACCTCCCTCTCCCTCTGCCCTTGACGGGCAGCTGTGTGTGGTGGAAGCATTATCCACACGCGGAGCACCCAGACCAGCGTCTGCTCCTTGGCAAGCCCACTCAAGGATTTGTCCTTTTTCTTCGCTGCACAAAGGTCAACTGACCAGAAAGGATGTCAGGACCCACTCCAGGCGGAGAAACTGCCAAGGTTCCAGCGCTTGAGGAAGTTCAGGGCGGCAGGGGACGCAGCAAACAGCGGAACCCTGGCAGTGGGGCAGGTGGGAGGACCCTGGCTGGGGACTCCTGGTAAGGGGGCGGTGTGAGGGGCTGTGTAAGCAGAAGCCTGCACAGGAGGAAAGGCAGCAGGTGAGGAGGCCAGGTTTCCCCCGCTCTCGCTCCCGGGATGGTCATCGTGCCAATCTCAGGCAGGACTGAATGGGCAAGAGACACATCCCACAAGCACCTCTGGGCCTCTGCAACCCATCAGAGGGCCCTGTAGGGGCTGACAAGCCGCCACACCCCACAGTTGAGCAGGAAGTGAAGGCGCAGGTCCTGGGTTTTTGGGAGCAGGATTCTGCCCTTCATGGTCGTGCCCAGCATACCTCCATCCCCTCCACCAGGTTGCTCTAAGAAGGACCCAGCTGCCTCTTCTGTACTTTGGAATGGCCAGGTTTTCCCTTGAAGAGGGCAGGGTACGGTGTGTCCCGGGCAGGGCAAGGAGTAAGGCTCGGAACCTTCCAGAACACTGCCAGCCCTACCGCCTGATCTGGGTATTCTCAGCTTGAGGATGAAGGCCCAGGAGGTGGGTGTGTCTATACAGGTGTTGGGGGACAGAGGCAAAGGGAGGCAGTGAGGCCTCTCACCTGACTATGTCAACATGCAGCAAGGTCTTTGTCCTGGCTCTGTAGCCTGCAGTGCCCCGAGCACGCTCCCTAGTGCTACCCCAGACACAGCTTGGTTCATGCACCCTGCAGGACCCCACCCCACCAGGACTGACTGCAGCTCCCCTGCTGCTCTGCTCTGCCCAGGGCCATCCCAGGGGCCCCTTGCAGCCCTAGAGCGCACTGGGTTTAGAGCTCTGGGCACTGGAGCCTGGTGAAGAAGGTCCCAGTTGCAGCTCAGAACAGGACCCTTTCGGTATCACTTTGAAACACTATTGTCAGTATTGTCACCACACCAGACAGACCTGCCAAGTCTGTCGTTAAGGCTGCCAGCCCCTGGTGGGCACTGATTTCAGTACCCCAGTCTCTCATGACTTGGGTCACTGGTTTTGTAGACAAGCACACCCGAATCCCAAGCCCAGCAGGTCTGCTTTTAGGACCCTGAGTCCGGCATTCACCTGCTCACAGCCAGCCTGGAGATCATGAGGCCGGTGGGATTTGAGCCCAGGGGATCGAGTTGCATGACCTACATCTGCCAATATTATTAGCTCTGGGGCCTGTGTGGCCCAGGCTGTAACACAATTCGAGGAACTGTTGACTTGGTTTGCACGTCAGCCCAGCAACAGGCTGGCTCCACCATGCCTGGTGTCACCAGAGCCAGAGCAAAGTGTGGAAGCTGACAGTCCCTTGGGGGTGCTGTGGTTGCAGGTGCAGGCCACTCCTGGACTAAAGCCTGGTCTCCTGGTGATCCCGGATCCTCCCTCTGCCCTCCTTGCTGAAGGTGGTGGGAGAGTAGGAAACCCTAACCCTTGGGCTAGCGGCAGTGCAATGCCCCATGCCCCTGTTAGTAGGGCCTCGGCCCAGCTTTCCCTGGCCCCCATCCCAGTCCCCATCATAGCCTGTGCCTGCGCTTCCCCTTGGTGGCACTGGCAGGGACATCCCAGCCTAGCCAAGGTGGCTTCCTGGGTTTCCTGGCCAGCCCAGTCCTTCTCCCACAGGTGAATAGAGGCTCCCGCTGACTGCACAGGGCGAGCAGCCCAGGACCTTGAGTCCCTAGCAGCCCCCTTCAAGCTGAGAGGCTGGGTCAGGGACCCACAGCGCCCTCCTACACCTGCCTTTTCATCCCATGTGCCCAGAGAACATGCAGCCCTGGACGAGCTGGGTCAGGGCAGCCCTGCCCTTCCTAGTGGCCATGAGCAGGTGCCTTCTCATCCTTGTCGTCTTGGGCTCTGAAGAGGCTCACAGGGAGACCCATCTATGTGGCACGGCCCATGCATACTCGGAGGCCTGGAGTTGACTGAGGAAGCAAGCGAAACCCTTTAGCGTCCTGGGTGCCAATTCTGCCCAGGAGCCCAGTGTGGTGAGTGGGCCTGGTGGGATCCTGGGGCCCTGCACCCCAGCTTTACTCTCAGGCTTCCGGGCAGGGAGGTCTCTGGAAGGTGGCCCCAGGTGGGGCAACCCCAGGGCTGGAGCCAGGCAGAGCATGCCCGAGGCCCACTGAGGCTGCCTCTACCTGCCTGGGACCCGTGTGAGTCATTTCCTTGCTCAGCTGGGACAGGGTTAGGAGGGGAAGAGGGGGTGGATCTAAAAATAGGCCCGGATGGGTGGCAGACACCTCAAGAGCTTCTCCTGGGTTTGGGGGAGCAGCTTCTCAGGGGAACCTGACACCTGCTGCAACCCCCACCCAGACCCCTAGGAAGGAGGGAACCGGGAGCCCCCCCCCGAGACCTCACAGCACCCCCTTTCCCCATATGTGTGTGGGGTACCGGGGCACAGGGCTTAGCCTGGGGAGGCGCAGGCCAGGGCAGGGTATGAGTCAGATAGGCTAGCCCTCTGGTAGGCCTGGGCTGGCAGTAGCCTGGAGTGCCCTCCCACATCGTCCCCAGAGTAGCACATCCACACCCCAGGCACTCCCCCCACTGCAGTCCACACACATGTACACACACCACGGCTCTCACACACTCACCCGGCTGACTCATCTCCCCTGCCCTTGCAACAACTTGTTGCTCCATTTCCCCAGGCAGGACACTGACTGAGGATCCACTGTGTGCTTGAGCCACACACACACCCCCAAGACATGGAAGCCATACTCGCCACTGCCCTGGCCCTCCAGCCAGAAAGGGTGGGGGAACACCCAGGAACAAAACAAGAAGCCAGTAAGCAGGACTCACACCGTGACCCATCCCCACCACTGAGGCCAACAAACGTGGGTTCAAATCCTGGCATGGCCTCTTTCCTCTGCACCTGTTCTGGTCTTCCCCTCCCCTCCCCCACTCTCCCTTGTTCTCACAGCAACCTTATAAAGCAGGCATGGCTGCCCCCACTTCTGGGTGTGGAAATGGAGGCCCAAAGATATGATGAAACAATTTGCTCCCATCACACGCCAGTGTTAGAAAGCAAAAATCAGGATCCAAGTCTCAGTCCCATCTCCTTGTGGTCCTGCAGTGTGGATGGAGCACCTAGGAGCCCACCCTTGGCTGGGGCTCCATAGACCCAGCTCTGTGGTCTCCAGAATGAGTCCCTCAGATGCTCAGCCCAGAACCTGGCTGTCCCACTTCCCTCTCTGGCAGCCTCCAGCCCCCAGGACCCTGACTAGACATACAGAGTGTTCCACCTACTCTTTGGGGATGACCCCCCTGGACTTTGACCAACAGCTGGGCTGAGAGGATACTGTAACCCCCATGGGACAACCTGTTTTGTGGCTCTGCTAGGGACCCTATGGCCCACTGGCTGCCAGGGGAGGGGCTCGGCCACTCCTGGCGCCACGCCTATTTGCACAGCTGGGTTGCAGGCCAAAGCCGAGCCTTGCATCAGCCTGCACGAGCCACGCTGCAGCCACAGCCTCTCTCT